TGACTTAAACGGCTTTTACGCGCAGCTGAAAACAGCATATTTGATCTTTATAGTAATCCAGGTTTACGTATTATCACTTTTTTATCAAAATTGTCCGAGGCTATTTTGCATATAAGTCGAATTTTTTTTACTGTGGCGATTTTTTTACGAAAAATGACATAAAAATAGCTGTTTCTGTCGTTTTTGGCCCAAACAAACAATGTAACTGTCATTTAAAACAAAATAGCCTCGGACAAAAATAATAAATAGGGGGTTAGCTTTCTACTTGTAAAATATCATGATGAAAGGTGTTGTTACCGCTTGCGCGTAAAGCCATGAAGTAAACAGCTTTAAACCAAAATGTTGATTTTTAACCCAAAAATCCATAAGTAGTAAAAACAAAATAACCTTTATTCAATGCGTTTCAAGTACTACTAGAACTGTGTGAAGTTTAGTTGTGGTTCGACCAAGCTATCAAAAGTTACAGGCATATGTATGAAATAATACTCATAGTATGCCATAGGCTGCCTTAACCCAACCGAGCGACACAGATCCTCACGGCTGCAGAGTCAGTACTGACAGAAACAGAGCAGTCAGGGACGCGTTTATATAGGGACTGAGTGGGTGGATAAAACCGGTCCGGTAGGTTTTACTTGATTACGATACAAAGGAAAGTGTTTTTTACATGTGCCGATTTGCATATGGGAAATTAGACAACATCATTAGATAAAGATACAATAACTTGGACAATAACGTTAAAGACAACAGTATGCATATCACGTGTTTAATTTCATTGTTGAAACTGAGATCAAAGGGACGAATGTCGGCATACAATGGGGGCTGTTTCGTGTCGGCAGACTGTTAAATCTTATTCAATTAAAGGTCCATAAATGGCCATTTTAGTATTTTGAAAATGTATCAAACTCCTAGCTTTAAAGCTGTTAGAAAATTCCTCAATAGAGACGACCAACCATGAATATGATCCATGCCTTGTAGCTCTAACCTATTTTGCACAAAACGTCAGGTGGTTGAACAGCGACTTTAGAGAGATTTTGTCTGTCACGTCTGACCAAGAATTAAATTTCAGAGTTGATAAATGCTTAAAGACTGACCAACATCCATTTCAGAATGTTTTATAGGTTGTAAGCTTACGTATTCAAATTTATATACTAGTATATCTAAATCTATTGTGTGTACAAAAAGGCTAATTTTCACCCTCTACAGTCCCAGCAAATCAGAAATCTAAAATGACGCGAATAGAAGGCAACACCCTTATTTATTAGGAAAAGAGGAGAACTTGGTCAATATGATGAACGCACCATGTTACACACGCTGATTCAAATAGGGGAAATCAGACTATGTTCTTAGGAATGAAAGTAGAATATGGAAAATGAAAGCGATGATTACAAATAAATAAGGCACATAACACGCTTTATTGTTGAAACTGAGATGCAAAAAGTTGACAAATCTCTAACTCTAAGCTACCTCTACCTTACAGAACTGCAGTAAAACAAACAGATTACATTTTAATGCATTAATAAGTAACATGCTCCAACTGTAACCAAACGCTAAAGATCTAGTATATTTACAGATACTAAAACGACGAAAACTGTATACATGTACTTGACTACGTTCTATAACAGACGGACAATGGCACTTTGACGTTAAAGAAACAGTGTCCTACCATGTAACTATTGTCTAACTACTACAGTATTGCATTTTACACACAACTTCTAGATCTAATCAACAGGCTACGGAGTATGCATCAATCGTGATGCAAAATCACTGCTATTGTTAACTTAACAGTGGAGAGTACAGTACTGACAGGAAAAGTGAAAATAAGCCATTACATTGGCAAAAGAATAACACAGTAAGATCAAACAGTAATGGCATTGACAGGATTCTGCCGGTGTGAGTTCTTTCATTGGCACCTTGGCGAAAGCTTCTGTTGCACTTTTAAGACATGTTAGATTTCTCCGCTCTGTGAGTCCGCATGTGTCTCTTTAACCCTCAACAGTACACCTTCCCGGACTGATTAATCTGTACACCTGGGGTCCGCGCGGACCCCAGAGCAGTATTTTGCTAATTTTTAGAAATTATCAACATGCTACCAGCTCAATTGTTTTGCAAACTGATGTGGGAACCTCTGTGTCCACATTACATACAAAAATCATACATTTTGAACTTTTTCTATTTTTTGGTGAAGAAAAGAAGACAAGAAGAAATACCCGATTTTTAAACCCATTTCAGACTGAAGGGGCTTTTGAGGCCCAACTTTGATCTCAGATAGTGGCTAAACGGCTTGCGCTAGAAGTATCAAATTTGGAGACCTTTCCTAAAATGTCTCTGGAAAAAAGTTCATATTAGTTTTATACTAGTAAGTTGATGTTTTTTTGTGTTGCCATGGCAACGAATAGTTTTTTTGAAAATAGAAGTAATTTTGGTTTAAACATAAAAATTTTCTGAGTTTTATATAAAATTACACTTCTTTTCCAACATTAATAACATCTTACATAATTAGATATAAAATAAATCATTTAATATACATAGAATATGCTAATTTGATGACGTCATTGGTCAAAATCCAATATGGCGGACTATATTATTAGCTCTGACGTCATATGACGTCATAATTACACCAAAGTTATTAAAATTTAATTCTATTACTACACCATTCTCTGAAAACTTAGTAGACATACGATGAATGCATAAAAACATATAAAAACGGAAATAAGGTAATGTATAAGAACGCCAGTGTATCCATTATGATCGAAAGCCGGCTGGGGGTCCGCGCGGACCCCAAAAGAAAATTAGATATAATTTTTTTATAAATGGTAGAAACGGAGTTTTCTGCACTGT